TTCCCACAATTTGTCAATGTTAAAGAGTCATTAATGAAAGGTGGTAAAGATGTCTGGCCCGAGGGAGAGCAGGGCTTCAGAGCCAGACAGGTGGCAGCAAGTCCTGCTCAGCCCCAGGCAGGGCAGGCCCGTCTGCTCAGGCCCAGTGGCCCATCTGTGAGGTGGTGATAACCACACAGGTTCTGTGGCTGCAAGGGTGGGTGGGGGAGTGGTGCAGGGGCCCTGCTGAACCTGCCCGACCTGTGACGGATGCAGTGTTCTGGGCTCCATCTCTTGCTGGCATAGGAAGAAACTGGCTCTTGTCAGCATCTGCCATTTGCACACTAACATTTATTCTGGAAGAATGTACAAAAATGAAAATTTATAATAACTAAGGGAAGGAGCCAGCATTCCCTCAGAACTTTGGATTACATAAGGATCTGAATGACATCCTAGGCAAAGATGGGACCAGTGAGGGAGGCAGGGAGAGGAGGGGCAGGGAGGGAGAATGTAAAATAGGACTTAATGCTGAGTGGGAAGGAGGGCTAAGTGGTGACTGCTGGGGCCCATCAGCCGTGTTTATAGAATCCATTTTGGTTTGACTTTCTGTCTGTTTTAATTTATTATTTACTAACCTCCATTAATATGCCAAGTTCTGGACTAGGAGCTCTTGAGTGTATGGTTTCTAAAGGGCGCTTTGGTATTTGGAATGGACAAAGGCCTGGGAGTACTGAGCTTTAGGTCATCTCTGCAGTCCTACATTCATTTCCAATTCACTTCCTGAGGATCAACCTATGCCTATCCACACATGACAGGGAGGTAGGACATGGAGACCTTTGAAAGGTCAGAATCCTATCAAGGCGGCAGATCCAGGGATCTGTCAGAGCTCAAAAGTGTCCCCAGGGCCATGGTGGGTGGTTTTCTAGTGTCAAAAGTGCCCAAAGAGGTGGGGGTGCATAAACTAGGCCTGAACTGACAAGCAAGTGTGAGCCAGGAAGACAGTGCATGTGTGCATGTGCGTAGGGGTCGGGGGGTGAGGCAGGCAGTTGTGGGAGTGAAGCTGGAGAGGTAGGGTGGTACAGACATAAGGAGGAACCATGAGAGGTGACTCCAGGGCCAGCCTGAGCTGGCTATGCAAGGCAGAGTGGAAAGCAGCAGCTGGCCAGTGTGGGTCAGGCCTGACCACAAAAAAAAGGAGTGATGGCTGGCAGTGGTGAGCCCAGGGACCACAGGGCTGGGTGAAAAGCCACGGGTTATTAGGCGGGTTCTGAGTGTGCCACACGCAGTCTCTCTGGGTATAAAGCCACAGCAGTGGTGTTGCAGGCACAGGTCCCACAGTGGGAGGGCAGCAGAATGCCTCACTTGGTACACAGGGACAGGGACAGCAGGTCCTCATGTACCCTATGGCCCCCTCAGGTTGGCCACTGGAGCTCTGGTGTTGGCAGCCTGTGTTGGCAGTCTGTGTCCACAGCCTGGCTGAGGACTTGGTACTTGGGAACTCTGGAGTAAAGTCGTCCCCCTGAGTGTCTGTTCTGCAAAACAGCTAAGAAAATGCCCATGAGATCAGGCTCTGAAGGGTGACCAGCGCAAGGCCCACCACAGAAGCATGACATAGAGGTCCTGCTGCTGTCGTTATTGTTACATTGTCAAAAACAAAACAGCAGTTGTCAGCAAGCGAAGGAGATTACCAGCACCTGCAGGTTGGGATTTTGCTGATAAAGTCAGTTAACAACAGCCAGAGATGCCACTGTTTCTGGGCATGGTGCCAAGTCTTTATCCTCACGTGATTCCTGTGAAGCAACTGTTCTTTCTCCCATGTACAGATGAGAAAACTGAGGCTCTGAGGTATTGTATACCTCCCCAAAGCCAGTAAGTGTTGGAGGTGGGATCAAACCCAGGGTGACTTCACAGCATGTGTGGGATTAGGGTCCCTGCTCTGCCTCTTGCTTGCTGTGGGCGGGAGGACATGTTACTATCTGGGGCATGTTTCCCGTAAGGGGCAGGACCCTGACAGGACACAGGCAAAGGCCAGAAAGAGGTACTTTCCCAGAAGAAGAAATACACTATCTTCTACGTGTATTTCTACCTGCCCAGACTCACTCATAATTACAGAGGTACAGTCAAAAGTGGGAATGTTTTTTACTCATCAGATTGGCCAAGATAAAAACTGCACAGTGTGAGCGAGACTGCGGGGAAATAGCAACTTTTATTGGCTACTGGTGAGTGTTAGTAATCATGTGACCTTTTGGAGGGGAATTTTGTAGTATCTATTAACATTTTAAAGGTGCATACTCTTTGTTCCAGAAATTAAATTCTGGGGGGAATTTATCCTAAAAGTATACAAACAAATGCATGTAAAAATTTTCTTACAAGAGTTGTCATGGTAGTACTCTGGTTAGAAAAAAATCAAATAAAGACTGCAATACAAGCTAAATGCCCATTTGAGTAGAAATTGGTATAATCTTTACAATATATTCTTAAGGAAAAAAGAAAGATGAAGTAGAACACATAAAATAAGTTTCATTTTGTAAAATAAAAAGTAATTGTATATACATAAAATACTTCTAGAAGGATTCTCATAAGTCAATACAGTAACTGCCCTTGAGGTGGGTAGAAGGTGTCTTCCTCTTTCCTATTATTAACTCTTCATTCGTTGTTTAAATGTTTGTTTTTTGTTTGTAGCTTGTGCTTTTTGGGCCCATCATGTTTGCTCAGTCTCTAGAGGGTGTTTCAGCTGGGGTCTCAGAAGAGCATCTGTCACCCAAAGAAGCAAATAGACTTGACTTGCCAACCTCCCCTTGCTTGCCTGGTGAGGGGCCTCTTCCTACTCAATGTAGATAGGCTGACGTGTTCCCACTGCAAACACAGAGTGCCTCTTATCCCACACACCACTGTTTCTCAGGATATGCTGCAAGTCCCAGAAATAACTGCCCAGACTTAGCACCATTGAAAAAGCCCAGATGCTGACTGTGCCAATGTTACTCCACTAATACCTGGAGAGGTTGAGCAGTGTCTGAGATGGAATTCCATTTATACTTGATGCAATCCCTTCTGTTGTCAGAGGCAGCAGAGTCTATATAAGGCTGCCAAACCTTGCCATCACCTTACTGAGCATTGACCTCTTTCATCCAAGGGCAAGACAATGGAAGCACATACCTCATTTGCAATAACTGTGGCCTTTGGGCTTATGGGGAGCTGCGCAGGGTGGGCCTGGCCTCAGTGGGGACCAGCAGGTCCTCTTCATTCTAGTCTCTGGTTCTGAGAAACAGGGATGTAAACTGAAACACCCTGCCTGAGTTAGCAGCAAGAAATAGGGCCCTGTGGTTCTCCCAAAGCAGAGATCCTGCCATAAATCAAGTCTTAAGGGTAATCTGGAATGGTATACAAGTAGGGGCTGCATCCCCATCAGTTCTAGAAGGGTGGTGTTTGTAGCCATTGGTCAAGGTCTGAAACTTGAATCCCAGACCACCGCTGGGGGAGGGAGCAGGGGCAAGGCTTTGGGGCAGGCATGTCTAGCCTAACCAGACAGGGAATGTGGGAAGGCTGAACTTCCTCAGCACCTGAACAGGAATGCTTACTGTGGTTCTGTCCCATCAACTCCCCGCCCCTCACATACACACATGTGAACTCAGTAGTGTCTTGACTCACACACACTTGTAGACACAGACGTAAACACACTAACAAACATGAGCTAACAGATCCACAGTCTCATGTAAAACAAAGATGCCTGACGTCTCACACCTAGTACAAGTCTATTTTTGTGCTGAGCCATTTACACACACTGAATTCTCACAACCCAATGAGGAATACTTTATAATCCCATTTTGCAGCTGATAAATCCGCAGCTAGGAAGGTGGCTTGTCTAAGGTTGGTCCTTGGCTAGTAAGTGGCACACATGATCCCATTATAGACTGCCAGGCCCCCACTCTGTGACTCCGGTCTGCATACCCAGACCCAATGAGCCACGCAGGTACACAAGGAGGCATATAGTATACAGACACAGGCCTAGCCACACGCATCCACCTGGGTATTAAAGACCTAAAACGAGTTGGCGTCACCAATACTCTTATCGTTACATATTAATTACCTAACGTTATTATCGTCTGATTACATTATCGAACCAGAATGTCTATTCTCTCATAGTTTCTAATGACACAGCCAGGGTGGAGGTAAGAGGGATAAACAGTCATTCTTTTTATGAATACAATTTTAGTTTTTGACTGCAAAGCCCAGAGGAGGAGTGGGAGGGTCCGGTTGTTTTTGAACAGCCTCCCAAAGAATCTCAGGGTGTATGATTTCCTGTCAGCAACAAAAAGTGCAGGTTACGAAAAGAAACAGAGCTTAAAGAATGACAAACCATCTGTGCGTCCCTTTCCAAATCCAGCCGGCCTGAAAGCAAGTACAGAGATGGTGGAGTTGACTTGGAGTTTTCTCCAAATGCGCCCCATATTCCCTGCCTCGCCTTGTGACGTTGTTATTGGGCTGCTTAACGCTCTGCCTCTCCTTTTCTTTTACTTTTAGTAAAAGTTCTTGCCACAGATACTTCCTGACCAGAGAGCAAAATAACACATCGAGCAGAAGCGATGGCGGAGGTGCGCGGCGGCCCCTCTAGGCCCGCGGCGCACAGTCCGCGCGCCAGAGTCGGGGAGCAAGGCGGGGAACACCGCGCGCCGCAGGGCGGAGGGCACAGTGCCTAGGCGTCAGGGTCGGGGGCTCGGGCGCCGGAGAGCCGGAGCGCAGTGGTCGGGAGCTCTGAGCCCCACTCCCGGGCTGGGATTGGGGCTGGGGGTGGGGCGGGGATACGAAGGGGAACCGGACAGGGACTCCACGCGACCTAGGCGCCGTGAGCCCTGGGGCGGCACTTGCGTTCAGGCCTGAACCCGGCAGGCACCTCGACCACAGAGGCGGGGCATGGCCAAAGCACCGTGTCCTTGGCCGCGGCTCTGCCCCTTGTTCTCCTGTCGGCCCAGGCTGGAGTTGGTCTGGGACACCGCGGACCCCTCCCCGCGGCGGGTACTCACGGGGGTGGTTTGGCGAAGTGGTGGTGTTGCTCATCGTCGATGGCGCCGGCCGGGTAGGGACCGAGGGGCCCAGCAGAGCGGTGCGAGGGTCGCACGGGCCTGCTCCTAACCCGCTCACCAGCCAGAGGAAGCGGCCCTTGGGTCACACTCCTCTGCGCGGGCTGAGGGGAGGGGCTCCGGCCCCAGATAGGCAGACTTCATTTATTTTTCTGTGCAGACTTGGCTGGTGGGGTTTCCACCCTTTTTTTTTTTAAACGCACAACCCGCCCACTTCTGAACTCTTCCCTGCTCCAACTTTCCTGCGCAAGAATCACATTTTTCTATTTCTGTGCCCGTCTGCAGCTACCAGATACAGAGGTTGTGGTTGAGAATTCCCCCGTGTGGACTGAAAAACTCCCAGATGTGACACAACGGCCCACCCGGAAGGTGTCTGGGACGGTGACCAAGTAGGGACAGGCCCGCGTTTGAATTTTAGCTGATTTCTCTATTACTCAAATGGTGTGGCCTCTCCCAGCTGAGGGCATTTGTGTCCAGGAAAAGTTCCTGCCTCGCTGGCCCATCAGGGGCGCTGTCCCAATTCACGGGCTAATGTCTGGGAAAGATTCTTAGAAAAAAAAGATTGCTGGACAAAGGCTATGTGCTTTTTTTGGATCACTTTTGTCTGAGGCTTCCAGTCAGAGTGGAAGTTTATGGGGAATTCGCTTTACTTAGACAAGTAAACATTCTACTTGGATTTTGACACAGTCGTTAGTTTAATGGAGTGTACCCACATCCCGCACAAAGACTGTAGTGTTAAACGTGGCAGTATATTCTCCTGCCCCCAGAGAAAAGAAGGGGGCTTAGACTATGTCGCCCTTGTGTAAAGTCGCAGCCCCAGGAATCACTGTGTTTCTCACTCTGATGTCTGATCTCCCTGTGGGAATTCCCATTGCCGTTTACCCAACAGTCCTCAATGCATTGCTGGAAACACCACCCCACCTTCTCTAATTCTGGGGCATCTTTCCAGCTCTCTGCCCAAGGTGTATGCTGGGGGGAATACCATCCATGTTGAACGCAGCAGGAGGCTGCCCCCTGGAGGTGTGCGGTGCACATACCTGCCCGGCTTCACCTGGGTTGGACCAGCTCCAGGCATCATTAATAGGGGCTACCTGTCTGGCATAGTGGGAAAGTATTCATAATGCTCTTTTGTTCTATAATGAAAAACCTCACATTGTTTATGAATCTATAGTGAAACGTCTATGCTGGCCATGTACATGTGGACTTCAAGTGAACTATTTGCAGAATGCCTCTGGCGAGGTTTGGACACTTTTGATTTGTTATAGAAGAGCCTTGACTTCCTCATCTATCAGGTGGAGAAAAGAACACTTACATTCCAGAGTTTTACAGAGCAATATCTCTAAAATAACAGTGGGGTAGAAAAGGCATTTTATAGAAACCAGCCATGATTATGGCAATAGTTTAACATATTGTTTTGTAATATATCTAAGCCTGTGTTGGATAACAGTATCCACTGTGTCAGAGTTCATAAATTAAGCAACTTCAGTTATCTGGATTGCAGCTGGAGAGCTAGAAGGAAGACAAGACCCAGCAGGTGACCAAGAGCAAGTCCCCAGGTCATCATAGCTTACTGTGGGGGGACTTCTCAGAGGCTCACTTACAGCCCATTGGCTTTTACACACAACCATAAGGCATTTCCTTGTTTAGTTTCCAGGGTTAGGACAGGTTAATAGTATCAAAACATAACAAGAATTCCTTAGACAGAAGCAGCCAAAAACCAAATTAACTGCACAACCAAAGTATAAATTTGGATGAACTATAAAGGTCAGATATAAGAGCAAAGTAGCATTTGCTATAAACCAGCATCTGAGCTCCAGCCATGAGTACCGGGTGTGATGGCACCAGGACAGTCAAAAAGTTAAGGTTTTGGAGCTCCATCTGGGTTTGTGTCTTCATTGCCTTGTACCTGGGTAACCTTCAGCATTTTACCTAACTTCTCTGAGCCTCTATTTTCTCATCTATGAAATTGGAACAATCTGCAAAGTTAGGTTGTGGTGAGTAATACATTAGGTAGTTAATAGTTAAAAGGATAATGCAATGTCTTATCTAGCGTGTCAGAGTAATGGTATTATGATACTGATCCCCTTCTTCTTGGGACATTCTTGGTTTACATGAAGGATCTCAGGCCATTCTGAAAAGAAGGCAAATGATGTTTAATGAGTAGTTTTTTAGCTAGCAGGGAAATGCTTGATATATTTTAGAAGATGTAACCATGGAAGTGCCTAATTTTATAGACATGAGGGCTATTTTAAGAAGGTAAAATAATTATATGAAAAATTAAGTTATATTTCTCTGATATAAATCACAGAAATGTATTATTAGCATCTGTTTATTGGATATTTATAATGGAGTAGAAAGAATCCTGCTGTATATTCTAACAATAAAACAGTTCTTATTTAATTCCCATAAAAAAATACCCTCAAAGAGGACATTGTCAAGGCCCATTTTTGAAGGTGAGGAATCTGAGGTTGCGAGCTGTAACAAGAACATGTCCAAAGCTATGCAGCTAGGATTGAAAATCAGCTCTGGCAGGCTCTGTGGTGTGCATAGGATTCTGCTGTTATAAGCTGCTGAGCCCTCCAAGGGGTAGGAGGGCATGATGGAGTCGGAGGGGAACTCTCTCCTCATTTCCAGCACTACAGGGCAGAAGCTTCCCAGAGGATCCCTCCCTGCTTTATCTCCACTCCAAACTAACACACTCAGTGCTGTCTAATTGGGAGAGGACTCATAGCTGTGAGGACTCATAGGCCTTCTAGCTGTGAGCTCTTACAGACTGAGCTGGGCACATTTAATTTAGATTCTCTAAAATTTTTGCCCTTCATCAAAGTAATAGATGCTCTTTGTGTAAAAATATTGAGTGCAGAGGAAAAATAATCCAAACTGCTCATAATTTCTAGCACATTAAGGTATGTTTATTTTAAGTTTTTTATGCATTTTGGATATTTGCTTCATAAACTGAGCTTTTACTGAATGTGTGATTTTGACTGCTGAGATTTTGCTACCAAACATTATGTCACAACCATTTCCCCATATGAAAGTATAAAAGCTCTTTAATTTGTTTTAATTGCTGAGTTGTTTCCTTTTCTTTGCTAGTTAAATAGTGCTGTAATAAACCATGTGAACATAAATATCTGCATTTTGTTTTTTTTCTTAGCTTGTATTCCAACAATGGAATTACTGGGTCAAAGATTAGGAGTGTGTTTCAAACTTAGATACATTCATGGGTTGTGCCTGCAGGAATTTATGTACTGAACAATCAATGATGAGACTTAGCAGTGTGCATCTCAGAGCTCCTTGCCAGAATTAAGCATTAGGTTTTAAATCAATAATAATTATGTAGATGACAAACATTTGAAATTATTTGAGTTTGCATACTCTTGATTGCCAGTAATGTTGAATATACTGTAATATGCCTATTTATAAATTGCATGTTTTTTAGATGAGTGTTTTGTTCGTGCTGTTTCCTCATTCAGCAGGATGGTTAATGTTTTTCTTACTGATTTACTTGAACTTCTTATACACAAAATACAGAACCACCTTTGCATGGGTACTGCAAACATTCCTCTGGAGCCTTTTCCTGTTCTTGTGCATTAGTATTGAAACATAGTTTGACTTATTTATTGACAAGTTGGAAGCTTTTAGAAAACCAAATTGCGGCTATGCATATTTTAAGAGGAGTGAGGAGAAGCATCAGGCTGTCACAGGCTGAGAGTGAGGAGGGTGAGGTGTCAAATGGGGAAGGGGATCCAGGGAAGTGCTGAGAGACCATGGCTCAGGCTCCACAGCCTTGGCCTGGAGGCTCTGTCCTTCCGAGCAGCACACAGATCTTTCTGAGGAGAATTTGTAAGTGAGGAAATGTGAAGGCTGAGAGGCAGCAGACCTACTGTTACCTGCTAGAACTGAACTGCTAGGCCCTCTTTCCTGTAGACTTTGCTAAAGGCTGCTTCTCAGTATGTAGGACCTAGAGGAGGGTGTCCAAAGTGGATAAGGCTGGGAGACCCAGAGCTGCAGCTTGGGCCTCAGACTTACAGTGGCACATTATCCAGGGGACAACCTCTAAGCATCCAGAATGGCCTTCCTCTGGAAGCTCCCACATCCCTAAAGAAAAAGGAACAGCATAGAAACCCAGCAATAACACCAGGTAGGTGGTCTGGGGTAGTCTGAAGTGACATAGGCTAAATCTCATGCTTTGTTGACAGCTCAAAACGCCAACCTGTTATGGACTACATGAAAAAAGTGAGGAACAAGAAAGAGGAAAAGACAGAAGGAGAGGGAAGGGGAGGGGAGGGAAGTGGAGGAAAAAAGAGAAAGAAAAAGAAAAATGCCAGGAGGAGGGCTGGCCTGATTCTTAGGCAGAGAAGAGAGTTAGTCAGGAAAAGGGACACAGCCCAGTGGTCAGCCTGAGAGGTTCTGAAACTTCAGGGGATGTGCGATTTTTCCAACATTCCAACAGGTGTTGGATTATACAGATAGTGACAATTTCTGGAGCACCTAGGATGCGCCAAGCCTGGTGTTATGTTATGCCCTCCCATGTGCAGTTATTGTTGATGTCACAGCACTGCATTACAGAATAGGCGATGCTTTGTTTTGTTTTGTTTTGTTTTTTTCCCTTTTCCCTCTTCTTCATTTTATACAAAAAGGAATCTGAGGAACAGAGAGGTAAAGTAACTGGTCATGGTCACACAGCTACTCAGAGTCAAGAATCTGAGTCAGGTTTGTCCAAATCTGAAGCTCTGATGTGGGGAAGTGTTACCAGTTCACTTTCCTTGGCATCCTTCCTGTGCAACCTGATGGCTCTGGTGGACCCCTGTGTCTCTGGTGTTATTGCTCAGCTTAAGGAGGCTATTCATGCTGAACACAAGGAAAGGAGATAGGGAGTTGCTGAGTGAGTTCCAATGTTCTCATCAAGACATACAGAAATGGAAATCTCTTATTAATTAGAGAGTAAATTACTAACTTCCAGGCAGCCTTATTTGGATCACAGCCCTTTCCCTTTGAGTATAAGTTGTTGATGTGAAACTGAACTAAAATTCACATTTCCAGCTGCTATCAACTGAACTCTGAGCCCTCTAAGGACAGGAGGCAGATTCCTCTTTAGAGCTTTTGTTGTGTTTTCTATCCTCTTTGCAAGGGGAGGGATGAATTTGGGGTATGTAAGCTCTATGACCC